ACTGTAATAAGTCGTTCCGTGACTTAAGAGACTTAAAACGACACCAGAGGTAGATTTAAATCGTTTTAAATAATTTACAAATTAATTTTATAAATAAATGTTGTTTAAGAGCCCATACGGGGGACAAAAGATACAGTTGTGATTGGCCGGGATGTGAGTACAGGTCGACAGATGTGGCAAATCTGGCCAAACATAAGCGCACACATACGGGAGAGCGTCCCTACAAATGCGACTGGTATTGCATTTCCATCTCATTATTTTACATTGAATTTAATAATAATACTTAATATTTATTTGAAGGGCTGGATGTGAGGCTTCATTCGCCGACGGCTCTCATCTGCGAAGACATCAGAAGAAACACGAGAATCAGATGACAAAACTGACGAAAGCGCCGGCAACGGGACCGAAGAGGCGTCTCTCGGCTCCTAAGACTACTTCACTGATGAAAACGCGTCAACAGCCCGGCCGAAGAGCAAAGGGCCCGCGACTGCCCATCGAATGCAAACTGGATGTCCCTCAAGATGTGATGACCGATGGAAAGTCAGAAGCTTCGGTCAATGATCTGAACAAATATGCGCTCAAAAGTTGTCCAACAGTTGAGAACAATATTGACTCGAATGTGAGTCAAATAAACGCGGAAAAGAGCAACGAATTGATAGAAACGGCTAATAATAGTAGTGATAACACATCGAAAACCATAATAGAAAGGGTTGTTGAAAATAATGTCAATTCGAGGCTAATTCAGGAGCAGAACAATAGTGCCATCGATTCCAACACAAACAATGAACCAAAAGAACTAATTAATAACAACTCGAATGTCATGAACCGAATGGACATGAATTCGGTTGCATTGGATGAGTCGAATAGAGGAAACATTAGTTCCGGCGTTAGTGACCAACAAATGAATTTAATGAGTGAAGAGGACAGAGATTGTGAATACATACCAACACTTATTTCAAACACAGAACAACACCTCAATTCTAGTCCACTTCCAGAAACTACAAACAAAGAACCACTTCCGAGGTATTCAGATATGCAGACCTTATAAGCCGATTGACTAAACGTTGCATTATTTATAAATTTAACATTAATATGGATGCTCTTCAGCACTCTTCTGATATTTATTAATATGTGATTAAGTAATGACTACAGAATAACTTGAGCTCAAGATCTATACCGTATGGCTTCCATTGACCTCTACTTTCTTAATATTTTGTACTTAAAGCGTAACTTTACATCATTTTAGCCCTCATTTGCTTTGATTTCTAATTATTTTCTCATTAAATAAATGTTATAAAAAGTTAGTTTGAAATCATAACAAATGTAAAACATATTTAAGTTGTAATTTAATGATATTATGATTGTTGTAAACGACATATGATATAAAATATAGTAATAAAAATCGTATGAATGGTTGGAATTTCTTAATCTTATTAAACATTTTATTTAATTTTTAAAGGTTTATGTCTTATAATTAGTGATGAATGCCTTTTTAAATGCAAAAATAAATGTATTTTTCCCATAACTCATACCATAACTCCTGAGGATATATCCAATAGCGTTGGATCGCTCTCTCAATCATTTACTTTCGCTGCAATCATACACTTATATAACAGTAAGCCTTTGAGAACCAAAAGGCATTACCATTTGGTGGACAAACTGGTAATAAAAGTGGATATGATATGTTGTGCACGCAATTTACAAATCATAGATTTAGCGTGAAATCAGTTATAAATCACAAAAATAAAATGACAATAATCTTAAACTCCAATGTTTCTCAACTAAATCTGACAGTAATTGCTATATGAATAGGGGTTCGAGAATCGGATCATTTTTCAAGCTATAGCCAGAATTGGCTACAAATACAGTACTGTATAATCGTTTAGATATAAACAAATTAAACCGCTTCTGGCAGTAAAAAGATTGTTACAATCTCTAGCAATAACTGCAATCATTACAATCCCCATCATATAAATGCTATAAAACTTGAAATATTTAATCAATTGATTAATTTGTCGTATAAATCAGAAAGAGTTGCGTTAACTTTAAAACATTCTCATAATTAGCATAAATTAATCAATTCTTATCTAAAACGATAGAAATAT